TGTTATGTTATGTTATGTTATGTTATGTTATGTTATGTTATGTTATGTTATGTTATGTTATGTTATGTTATGTTATGTTATGTTATTATGTTATGGCAAAAGCAATAGCAATAGCACTTAGACTTATATACCACTTTACAGTACTTTATAGCCCTCTCTAAGCAATTTACAGAGTCAGCATATTGCCCCCAACAATCTGGGTCCTCATTTTATCGACCTTGGAAGGATGGAAAGCTGAGTCAACCTTGAGCCTGGTGAAATTTGAACTGCCAAATTGCAAGCAGCCGGAAATCAGCAGAAGTAGCCTGCGTTACTGCATTCTAACTATTGAGACACAACAACTCAAGGGAGCTATGGAAACGGTACAAATTAATCTTAGATATTATTTGAATTCTTTCAAATATCTCAGAATAATCTCAGAATAATTATTGCAAGCAATATTTCATTGTTGGCATGGATAAATATCTCAAATCATTTATTTCAAATATATATATAAATTCCTGTGAGTTTATGGAGAATAAATGTTAAAACAAATGGCCCTACAAGATTGAGATATGTATGCTAGTTTGGCCCACACCTTGGTGACTGATGAATCCTGTTCTTTGTATATATTTGTGCTTGCTCTCTGAAAAAAACAAAATAAATAAAATGAACTGCCACCATTTATTCCTAAAATAGTGTGTATTTGAAACTATAGACCCTGAATGTACTGGAGCATTTGCATAAAAAAAAGTGCACATGGATTGAACTGTTTAGTTATTTTCAAAGAGAAGATTAATTGACATGGTTCTTTGCTAGACTAAGATATAACTTCATTATTTATGCTTATTACAAATGGTTGCCTGACACATTCCCTAGCAAATCTAATGAATAGGCCAAGGGGATCTTGGGATTTTCTGTTATGTGTGATAAGGAGAGATCAAACTGTGTTGCATTTTGCTCATGGCATCTGGCAAAACATAGCTATATTATCTGAGGTGGAATGAGAGTGAGGAGGGGTTTTTTTACTATTAGAAATGCTAAATAGAACATATGTATATAACCAAGACAAATGAAATGCCCCTAGAGAAAATAATTTGGAAGAAGGGAAAGCTGCTGATCTATGCTGCCATTCTGAATAAGACTTATTACTATAATCCTTTAATTAAAACTGAAATGATAGTGTGATCCACATACAATATAGACACAAAGTCTGAAGTCATTGTCTCATAATATGTAGCCTGAATCAGTTTATTGTTGATACTCTTTTTTTAAAAAAAAATCTAATGACTTGCATTATTGGGAGTAAAAGAAAATAGATCAACACTCTGAAGAAGAAAGAGATTAAAGGAGAGACTTCAAAAGAAACATTACTGTGGGGGTTTTTTCTTTATGCTTAACACAGCCAGTACCTGGCTCAAGAAAGACTGAAATGTAGTTTCTCTTATTAGTATAATACAATTCAATTATGACCACTGGGTGAAAAGAAATGCTGTGACTAAGCTCTGAAAGGCATCTGCTACCCAACTCTTCACTTGTTTTCTTTGATCTCCCAAGACTTTGGACAATAGTTCGTCAAGCAAAACAACACAGGCTTCATGGAATGTCTCTGTAGGTAAGTGAGAAACAGATTTAGATGGGGAGAAAATTGAGCAGAGAGCAAGAAAATGCAGCAATTTCATCTTTATCATGCAAGCTACCATCTCCAATACTGGCTGGTCAGTGCAATAAAGCCTTAAAACTTTATCCAAGATGAAGGGAAAAGATCATGTTTTACCCTCTCCTTTTGGACCCATCAACCTACCATCTGAAACTATTCATCACTCCACATGGCAATTAAAGTAGAGAGGGACAGGAAGAGCAGTAGTTCACATCTCTTTATTGGCAAAATAACTTCTAAGTAATTCTGCACAAGAGAATAAATATGTGCTGACACTTCTCACTAGCCATGCTGCTGGCTTCTTCAGAGTAGATCTGAAACAGAACTTGGCAACAGATGTCACATCCTTAAATACTTCTTGCCCATGTCCTAATCACCATGAAGATTACAACTGATAACCTTTCTACCTATTAAAATCACTTGGATGTTTACATATTTCTACTGCCTTTATAATAATGCTGAGGAAGTAGTCACACCAGGGTGCTGGTTTTTTTCCCCTCAAAGCCAAAGCCCATTGTTTATAAAGGCAGAAAACATATTCCCTCCAGAAATTCCTGCATTTGTGGATTTATATTTTTATTTAAACTATTGCTGTTTACATTGATTAAATAGATGATGATGGGACAGAGAGAACACAAGAGGCTTCATTTATTGCTGTAAAATTATTACAGTACCTAAGAAATTCAAATACTGATATTAGACAATACTTTGGACCATAAATTTCAATGTTGTTGCCCTCGCTTTTTCTTGGATGATCTCAAACAAAATTTAAAAGCAGCAATATTCTTTCTATCATGCTTCTTCAAAGTCCAACTTTCACTTCCATAGAGTGTCTGAACAATTCTGATGTTTGTAGATATAGGCACATCATGGCATCTGAGTATCTTTTGCAAGGACTTCTCTACCTACTACTCTACCAAGTGTTATTCTGGGGTACATTTTGCTCACAAACAATGATTTGTGGCTAAAACTTTGCCTTTCATCTCATCCTTTTTTTTGAATTACTGAATTACTGAATTTTTTCCCAAACCTACACTACATATTTGAGTGTGTCAAATATGGTAGGGTTTTGGAAGCTGGTAGGGTTCAGTTTCTTTGTCCTTGAATGCCGTAAAACCTCTAAAGTACCAGAAGACAAAACAAGAAGCAAGACGATGGAAACTAATCAAAGAGAAAACCAATCTAGAACTAAGGAGAAATTTCCTGACAGCGAGGACAATTAACCAGTGGAATGGCTTCCCTTCAGAAGTTATGGGTGCTTCATCACTGCAGGCTTTTAAGAAGAGACTGGACAGTCTGGAATGGCATAGGGTCCCCTGCAGGGGGTTGGACTAGAACCTTTCAACTGTGTTGTTCTAGCATTTGATCTATGGTTCTCAAGTAAGATTCCTCAAGTAAAAACCACAATAACTATGTACTGAAAGAAATGTCAACAGATTTAAAAAGCACCATTCATTGATTGATTAATTTCTCCCTCCCTCCTTTCTTACTCTTTCTTTCTTTCTTTCTTTCTTTCTTTCTTTCTTTCTTTCTTTCT